GGCCGCCCGCCGGGCCGCGGAGGCCGTCGCCGGGCGCCGAGGTAGGGGTCAGCGGGGAGGGGACCTGGGGCGGGGAGCGGGAGGGAAGGAACGCCTGGACGTCTGCTGGGAGCCCGCAGGCGAGAGGGATGGTCTGCGAGGCTGCGTCTACGAGGGCAGCCGGGACCTCGTCGGTGCGGGGATCCTCCCCCTTCTGTCTGCGGGGCCGGGTCTACGCGGTGCCTCCCGGAGCCTGCTTCTGTCTGCGCTGGCAGCCGAGACCGCACCTGTGCGGGCTCCGCGTATCTGCGTCCCTTCCCCAGCTCTAGTCTGCGGGACTGCGTCCACACCAGGCGCACTACCCACCCCCGCCCCAGCTCTGGGTGGGAGGCCGTGTCTATGCAGAGTGGACCCAGACGGGTGCACCCACGTGTGGTTCTGCGCAGAGCGCTCCTCCTACACGGTCCTCCCCTGAATCTTCCTTCCAGAGCTGGGGGGCGGGGGGATGAATGGGACAGATGCGGCGCGTGGCTTTAGCTGCGCAGTCCTCCCCTGGCTGGGCGCGGGTGGAGGGGGCGGCGGAGGCGGGCGCTGCGGCTTCTGGGGCTCCGTAGGCACAGAACTGGTGGCTCGGAGGATGCACACGTGCGCGGGGACCTGTGTGTGGTGTTTGGAGGCGGGTGTGCGTGTGTCACGTGGACACAGGAGTGTGCCTGTGTGCGTGAGGGGGGTGCATTACAGGATGGAGTGGTGTGTGAGGGCGGGTCACGCGGACATCGGCGTGCGTCTGTCCGGGGAGGGGTACGTGTGTGTGTCTTGAGGGTACAGGGGTGTGTGGAGAAGGTTATGTCCCAGGGCACAGGACTGTGCCTCAGTGGGTGCGTAGGGGGCCGTATATCTGCCAGGTGGGCCCAGGAGTGCAGGAGGAGCGCACGGCTTGTGTCCTTGAGGATCCCGGGAAGATGCACTGGCCTCTGCCACAGCCCTCCCTCCTTCATTCAGCACATACAGATTGAGCACCCACTGTGTGCCAGACTGTGTCCCAGGTCCACACTCTGGGGACCCCCTGCCTCCTCCTTGCTCTCTCACCCTCAGTCCCCACAGCAGGCAGAGGGATCATTTTAAACTTCATCCCACTGAGTCACTCCCCTGCTCAAAACCCTCCTCTGGCTTTTGAGGCCTCCTGGTCTCTGTCCACAAAGCCCCCCAAAGCCAAGGCCTGAGTCCCAGCCAGGAAACGGCTCTCTGTCATGCACAGTGTGAATTTCCACCTTCTCCCCTTCTGAAATCCTTACTCAGTGGTCCTGAAAGAGCTTAAATGCCACCTCCTCCAGGAAGCCATCCCTGAAGCCAGGCACAGTGAATGACAGGGCCTTCTCATCCAGGAGTAACTCTGCTTGCCACGGGGTACCTCTCTATGCAGAACACCCCACTCCGGCCACATCGGCCTCTTTGCTGTTCCTCAGAGTGAGCACTGTCCCACCTCAC